AATTCCTGTTGTTGTGATCACCAGCTCCCCAGCTTATAAGGGCATTTTTTTAGAGATCATTTATCCTTCAATGGGAAGCTGACCTATATGCTGGATTTCTCATTAAATTTTAGAAATTACGCAAGGCACCATGGAGGAACAATGCGAGTTGTAGTCATTTTACCGTTAGTACTGTATTTTGTCCTCACACAAAACAGAAAATAAAGATGGGAAGTATGTTTTATCCGCTCATTCGGTCCTCCTCTCCAAATTATTTTCGAGACTTTATAGGTCCTCATCAAGTTTGTTTTTCCGAATAGACCTTTGAGAATGCATGTTGATGCCGTGCAAAACAATCTTATTGGGACAGGCTTGCATCCAAAAAATTGTTCCGACCATTTGAGGTCATCGTTGCTATCCATACAAGCGCATAGAGTTTATTAGACTGTTAGGAACAATCACTCTAACATGACTGTCAAAATAACCTTACCGTTTGTCTGTATCTGTTACACGAGACACATCTACTAATTATTTACGACTTCAGGGTCCACTCTTTCACTTAAGGTGTCAAAAAATCATTTATTCCTGCATGGGAAGCAGTTTGGGAAGAGTGATCCACTTTTCGGGTTCCGTGAGTACTCGTTGCAATGGGCTCGTGAGTAATCATCATCGTTTGCTTATGGGAAATGTCTGTCCCTACATCCTCCAAAAATGTGGAGGGTCACAGTGCTTTGTCCAGTTCATCCAGGATACATTTGCTTTTGCTGCCATAATAACTGTCTTTCGGCTTATTTTAGCTTTCATCATATGATTTTTTCTCCATTTGTGTATCATCGTAGGTTGTGGGGATTTTATCAATTTAGTAGCGTTTTCCATGGGTGTCCTGCACCTGTAACATGATGAACTCATTTATTATCATATAGGTGGGGTCCATTCCCTTTGGCTAGACTAAGGGCGATTTTCCGATTTTGCTGCATTTTCATTGACGACCTTTGCTCCTCCAAAAATGAGTGCGGTGTCTCCATTGTTATCGTTATCAAGTTTGTCAATAGAAAGTGCTCTACTTCGTTTATGATCACTGTGTACATTGTCAGAGTAAGGGTTGGGGACTTAAACGCGAATTCGATTTGTTTTCATGTCATCGATTGATCTATACATTTCACTAAAATCGAGAGATTTACTTTTGTCACAGACTAGGAACGTATGACAAGATAATTTAGTGGGTTCAAATTTTTGGTGATGAGCTGTTAATCCGTCAATAACCTAGTACTTCAGTAGTACTGCACTAAAGTTGTATTTAATGCATATTCCTGCACTATTGAAAAAACTTTCAATTGTCACATCACAAATTTGTCCAGAAAAGATTAGATGAGGAAAAATCATTGCAAAAGGCATTTGCATAATTTTGTGCTGAAATATCCAGTCGCACTTAAGACTCATCCGTCACAAACATCAGCAACGCCTGAGACAAATTACTACCAGGGTTGTTGATAAGCAGAGCCATTAATTCATGCACAGGTCGAGTTGTCCAAGTTCCTTCACCATTTTTAAAACAGTATTGTATATGGCTACCTTTAACATCATGCTAGGTGTCTACTTGGACCTGTGAACTCGATTTTCAATTTCGCCGAATGTAAAGCTCTCCAATGTTATATCAATTTAAAAATCCAAAGAATTATGGTTTCCGTCAAAAGTTCTGCTGTGGCCACTGTTACGGCCATTTATTTCCGTTTTCTAAAGCCTCATCGTTTTTACTTTGCCTTACCCTTACATTTGTGCTTGCTGAGGCGTCCCCCCCCCTCTGCTTCGAGGGTGAAAACATCCTCTGCAGTTAAGTTTGGTACTTTCGTTCTTCCTTTATGCAATTTGCTTTTGGAAAAAAATTCGCTGCACTTCATACTCTTTATTGTTTAAGACAGCTGAGATTTTTACATAGCCTCGTTATGCCAATTCCTGTCTTTAAATATTTGTTAGAAAATTCTTTATCTAGGATGAAGCGCTCCAGAATGCAAATGCTTCATCAATAATTAGTCATAACCGTATTAAAACAGGATTAACTTTGCATTTTTAATTTTTGATGTGCCAAAGGCGCCAAATGACTGTTTTATATACAGATTTACTTTTACAATCGTGCTCCCTTTTGTGGTGAGGGGATGGCAACAACTTAGGAAGCAGCGTAAAAATTAAATAAGTTTTTAGTTGGTCTCTAGTAACCATCTGTTTACCATCCTGGTTTTGCACAAAAATTCACCATCATAAGCTACATCTTGAGTCCATAAAAGCATTTCTTAGCACAAAAAATCACACCAGTATGAGCATTTCAAAGCGAAACTGAAATAAACTTACGCATTAATTATATGGCCGCAGTTTTTGTCGCTCGACATCCCCTAGCTGATCACACTGCAAGTCTAAAAAAATAAAATGTGCTTAACGGATCGCGCCAAGTTTTATCATTTTCCGTCCATCAGGTGAATGTGGCTGAGTTACATCATCATTGGCCAGTAGGGCCAGCCAATAGTGGATCTCCCTTTACCATGGGATGAAGTTGGGCAATTTCGACATACTTCCAATTGAAACGCAATTGCGTTAGAACTTGCTCCTTGATATGGTTGCCTTGATCCGTCGCTACAAATTGTTTTGTTTTTTCTTTACTTCACAAAGTTTGAAATTTGCTACTTTATTTTCCTCCTGCATTTTCGTTATTTTATGCGCACCGTGTTTCTACGATGTCCCGCTTTAGAAACGCAGTTCCTTCACAAAATCCATTGTTTAGTCTTGCTTCCACGAACGCAATCTGACCAGTTGATTGTGTGCATATCGTCTTTGTTTGATTGTTGCTTTTAGTCTAATATAACTGAAACGTGTTTCCCTTATGTACTAACAGGCTTGTGTTATGTGGCGGAAAGGAGATCCTTTGACCGCTCCAAGCCAAAAAAAAGGAATGTTTTATGTAAGGTACTTCCAATTTACTTCAGCTGAGAATGGATTCACGTGTTTACTTTCAAGGAATCGTTGGCAGTGCTTGTTGTGGGGATCAAAATGTACTACGAGTTCTTCGATTACCTGAGAAGATTGAATCCTAGCACAGCCCATTTTCTTTCCTTTAAATTAGCCCTTAGTGTTTGCAGACGCTTGATCGCGCTTTTAATAGTTTGCGAAAACAAAATTTGCCCATGCCAAGCACTGTTTTGTGAACTGGACTGAACGAAAGTGATTGCAGACAGAGCGAAACACTGTCTTATAAAGCCGTGCTAGTTGGATCAAAATTGACAGTGGCGAGTTGAAAATGCATGATTTGGATCATTACCTCGATAGATTTGAATGTAGCCTTAATGCACAGCACCACAGGATGCAGGCTGAGATACCCTCAGCTACTGCTCTCTGTTACCCACCCTTTTGATTATAGCTTTTCCAACCAATGCGTGATTTCCATATCGGAATTAGAATTTCTCTTTCGCACCAACGAGTCTTTATCGCCATCCATTTTGTCATTTTGAAGCTAATAGTTATTGCTCCAAAATTCCAACAAAAAGTGCATAATAACTAATTTTAACGATCTGGTGATGCTTTTTATCGGGATCGTTTGATTAACTGGCATTACTATCCAAGGGTGTCCGTTTAAAACAACGTTTCTTCCTCACTTTGTTTTATTGCCTTTTGCCTCACACAGCTCAATTTCTAGCATCATTCATAGCGTCGGATTTCCAGCAGCTAAAAACTGCTTCTTTACTAGGATAACAATGTCTGTCTTCTAACTGTCCTATCATTATCACTCCTTTCCCACCGCATCTTCAACGTAAAACAATGGGTTTTCTTGGCATATCCCAAAACTGAGCAAAGGTACCAGGTTCTACTACTCGCATAAATCTGAATTATAAAAAATGTTGCTTTCTCAATTTTAATAGTTCACAACATAAGTTTTGCTTTTCTGGTCGTCATTTGAGAGAATTTCGCTGATAAACAAAATAGACATGAAAGCACAACGGAGTTTTCTGCTTTAAATAAATTTCCCCTGAGAAAAGCAGTAGTGATTGCATGACTAGCATTGATTTCAACTCGCCTCAGTAGCGGTGGTTGTCCCGGCCTCAAGCAATCCATTTGCTTCCTTTGCTATTCCATCTCTTACTGCTGATCCCTATTACCATCAGCTTTAATTAACACTACCTCCTCCTATGCACATGCATTTTAAACATTACTTGTGGGAGCACTTGAATAGCATAAGTACTATTTTATTTGAGAGTTCTAATGGTCTTACCTTTCATTAAAACTCCCACCATAGCACTAAAACAGGTTTAATGTCATAACTACAAGTCGCGTTAATAAAGGTAAATACAGAAAACTTCTGCCATAGGCACTGATGTTGCAAAGTGGAGATGGTTGTGTGCTTGCGGAATTCGTTGATTTGTCGAATTTCGAGCAAACTCTTGGGTCAGACGTTTGTTACACCTCCTCAAACTTGTTTGAAGCCTCATTCTCATGACTCAAGCTCATGGTTCCGAAGCTGGTAAAGTCAACTTCTTCCGGCTCAAAAGTCAATTCAAAGAGCTTTATTAACGACATATCGGCTTGGTTCAATTTTCAGGGACTTATTTTCTACTGGTGCATTGTATTACATTGAACCAGGTATTTAGCGCCTCAACCAAATACAACATAAACTATTTGTAGCCTCGGTTACGCACAATCCATCTACTCGC